CCCCAAAACCCCAAAACCCCATATTGACTTATTGATCATATTTTCTCTGACTAATAAACTTAAATTTTAATTAAAACTTCCAATACAAAGCTTAATAAATAAATTACAAAACAAATTTAAATATGATGAGAATCCTTGTAACTGATAAATACAATTTAATTTCTAAGATATGTTTAGAATCTTATTAAAAGAGGATTTTTATAAATCTAAATAATAATGAACATATCTAAAACTTCTGGTACCAAGCACAGACTAGCTAAATTTATCAAGAATCTTGATGTATTTGGGATACCAGTGTCTCTAACTTACAAAAATGAACCTCATCTGAAGTCTTTTGTAGGTGGCTTAGCTACCATGTTTGTAAGATCTGGGGTACTGATTTACTTACTCTATCAAGTTATTGATGTAAACATAATACTTAGTGTTAAATTGAATTTATGCATAGGTATTATCTTGAAAAACGATTATACAATCTTCTCTTTATCGCCTAGATCTTTCTTCAGATACCAGACTCTATAATTTGACAGAAGATGTCTTTGATATGGCATTTAAAGTGGAATATTAATTACTAAAATCTGAGCCAGAAGTCTAGGATAACATTGATCAATATGCATATATATAGCTGAGTCAAAATATTTATTATTGGCAGGACAATAATGGCAGGAGTACTCAAATAAAAATAAGAAATAGACTAGAAACAGGAAAGTGTAATTATGGTAGACTAGATATTTAGCCTGATACAATAGATTATCTCAACATTATTAAGTCTTACGAATGTCCTTAAAACTTCAACTTCTAACTCTAAGGAAGCTATTCTGCTGAGGCATCTAGATAAATTTAAGTTGGAGTGTTTCCCTGCAACCAAACTTTCCTAGACATTAAGTACAATAAAACCAAAAAATGCAAGAGCATTGAAGAACAGTACCGAGTAGGTGCTAATTTGAGGCTTTTTGTTGTAGTCAAAAACTCCTTTGTCGATATCAAAGACTTTTCTGATAATCCTATCAAAACTTCTCTTAAACCATATTTTCTTACTCCTTCTTTTAATACCTCTCATTCTTACTTCTTCCTATTGAGTGAAAATGAAGTAGAGTTATAGGATTCTATGTTTTATGGAACTACTGTTTAGAAAAAATATATTGAAACATGACTAGATTACTTTAATATCCAAGAAATGAGATTGGATGGGGGAGTATAAAATGCATTTATCGCTCTAACTTTATAAATAGATGATACTGTTAAAGTTATAAATCGTAAGGCTTTTACTTTTCTTGATGCTTTACAAAATACTGGAGGATTCATGAGTGTGCTCTTTGTCATTACTATTAATGTTATCGGCTTATTGCAAAGGACTATATATTTTACTTCTTTAGTCAAAAGTCTTTACCAATACTAAAAAGAAGAAAAAATTGAAGATAATAATTCACTTGGGAGGCCTAATTCAAGCAGTTAGCGAGGATTTAAAAAGAAACTGCAAGATGGTAAGTTTTCAATCTTATTTAGTCATTTTTATTAGATCATGTTGATATGCAATAGTTGAATAGATTCAATTAAATCAAATAGCAGTTAAATAACAGATTAAAACTTAAATACTCGCTTTTAGACGTATTCTATGCTTGCTTAAGAAGGAAAGGACTCTTAAAGGAATTTGGAACTTACCACTAAGCGAGAGATAAGCTATATTAAAACGGAATTCAAAAAATTAGCAAAGAATTAGACATAAGATACATTGTGAAAGAACTTAGGAATATAAAGTTTGTCTAAAAAGTTCTTTTAAATAAATATTAGCGGTCAATGGTTCAATATTTCAAAGGTAACTTACTAAATGAGGCTGTTGAAAAGAAATCTACACTTTCGGCAGATAAATTATTACTATTCCTTAGGAAAACATTGTTAAAGTCTAACTAGAATACGTTTGACAAGAGACTTTTAAAATCAATTGAGTTAACACAAGAAGAAAACTTACAGTTCTAAGATATATTTAAATCGAAAGTTAATGGGAAGCCACAGCATATTGGAAGTGCAATTAAAGATGGAGTTTAAGAGCAAACCTAAGTTTGCTCTCCTCTCAAACTTAATGAAAGATTAAAAATATCTCCTGAGATTAGACTAGTTTCAACACTTTACAACACTATCGACCAAGATTAAACATTGAAATAAGAAAAAATTGATATTCAACCTAATTTTCCTAGTACTTGTAACTAGAAAATCACTCTAGGAGAAATTTAGGATAATTTATCAATATCAGAGATTAGTGAAAATGATTTAAACAACTAAAATGCAGAAGATACTTATAATAGGTATAGAAAACATGATATTAATCGAAGTATTGAACAAAAAGAAACAAAGTATTTCAATTTTTGAAATTTTAAAAATGAAAGTTCAATATTTATAAGGAAATTGATTTATTTTATAACTGACATTGATTTTATCTTTAGTAGCCTAATGGGGTTTTGGGGTTTTGGGG